CTAGTTGGTAGTAAGTTCAGAAAAGAGGGGAAATGACACAGTGTGAGCAAGCTAACAACCCCCAACTCTGTCAAAACAAAAAGTGAACACCACCACTACTGAATCTTTAACTCTCGAAGCTTGAAGCCTTATATTCCATTTAGAACACAAGAAGTTAGAATAAAGGCTATGTTGTATACATAGACTCTTGTGAATCACAGTTTGTCAGTTAGAATTCATTTATCCAAAAACAGATGTTTCTTTTAATGTCTACCAGGCTGTATGAGCCATATTCCTGTTCTGTGAAAGCTGATAACAAAACACCCGGTTGTCTAAGCTGAAATAGGTGGGATCGGGATCTATGTGGCTAAAAGTCAAAGTACTCAAGAAATCAATGATCCAAACAACACTTCCATGAAACCTAACTATACTGATTGCAAAAAGATTAATGATATGAAACGCGAATTCGAACACCTATTGTAAATGACCATGAGTCATTAGAATTTAATTGGTGGATGATGAATAGCAGTGGAATCCAGGATGCGCATTTCATCCTATTTGGGAATCATCATCTGGATGTGCCTGTATTCCCCAGTGAGTCAGTGATGATGTTCCCAGTGAGGCTCAAACCCAGTGCCCATAGTTTCACTCACTGGGAAATGCAGGCACATCCAGATGACGAGACCCGAATAGGACGAAATGCGCATCCTGGATTCCACTGCTAGTCACCATCCACCAACTAAATTCTAATAACATGCCGAGACATCGTCGAAGCATCTGCACAAGAATCCGACATGTCAACCTGAGACCAAGCACTTTGATCCAATCAATCGATGGGAAAATATAAAATTCAAATAAATAACCATGAGTCACGTTTGCAAATTGATCGTGTTTTAAATTGCGTAATATTTTTTATCCCTTCACGTTTCCTGTGGAGCATAGGGCTTAAAGCTAGAGGCTTGAGATTTCGGTAGCAGTGGTGCTTATTTTTACAGGAAGGGTTTGCTAGCCTCATGTCCAACGTTCACTTTTTTACCAGTCTTATTACTGGCTTAGCGAGGTAAAGGAGTGCGTCGGCCGGGGATCGAACCCGGACCACATACGCAGTCAGTGAACATTCTACCGCTGTGCCACAGACGCAGAGAAAAAAGATGTAGTCAAATTAAAAGTCTTCGTCTGTTGCTCTAAGCTACCTAGGAAGGTGTAGACTGTCTGGCTGAGATTCTCTGGAAGCTAAGAACAAATGGATGAGACTGTTGGCGATATAACTCAAAATTGTTGTTCTCAATGCCGCAGAGGCGTTCAGTCATTCCTTATGATCTAATTATTCTCCACGTACACTGTGAATCTTGCATACTTATATATATTTTATACTTATATCAATAATACATATGGTCTTCCTACTAGGAAGCTTATCAACAAACTCACACGAATTTATCAAACAGAAGCAAGATTTACAAACCATCGGACTTTTATCAGTTGATGTTTAAAAAAGCATATAATTCCAAAATATTTACGAATACGCACTCCAATTACTTCAAGGAAAATATCATCAACAGCTGAATATCTCAGTAGATTATGTCTAAGAGAAGAACTACATCGAATTACCGTGAAACTAAATAATATACGAAATGAAACCGAAAATCTCAAACACAAACTCAAATGTATGGTTAGTAACAAAGATTATATAATTGTTGTTGAAACATCCGAAAAAGCTAGAGAACCAGCGTTAAGAAAATCAAAAACCGCACAAATCAAAAAATTCAACAAACTAATGGAAGAAAAGAACACAATAAATGCAATGAATGTCAATATTTCATCCTCTGTTGACAGAACAAAAAGGGTGATCGACCTCTCGTCAAGGGAGCTAAGCTCTAGTGAGATAAAGCTACTTGAGAAAGGATTAAATTTCAACGTAACAGTTAATAAATTAAAACAAGAGGATGTCATTCCTAACATACAAGTAGCACTAGGTTCAATAGATAAGACGACAGCAGAATAGGTTAAAACACAGTGTGCATTAACCCTGAAAAATCAAATGGCGAAATCACACTTAACAAAATCGGAAAGAGAAGCTCTAATTAGTCTAAAACAGGATAAAAACATTGTCATCGCAAAAGCTAACAAAGGAAACTCTACCGTCGTTATGGATAAATCTGACTATATCAAAAAAGTCACTGAACATATTCAGACGGGTCCTGTCAATGTAGTTGAAGATTGAACGATCAATTCATGGTTGTTTGCTCAAAACCAACTTCCCCAATTTTCGCAGAGGCATCAATACACCAGTCATCGTCTCATCGGTCACCGTTCAGAAAGAAGTCAGGACAAAACCGTCAGAAATCTTAGTTTTAAAGCTTAATTTTAAAGTTGGCTATATGTTGGTGTTACAATAAGGAATTCTCGAGTGGCCAATCGGTGTTTTGGTTTTTGCGTCCGTTATTACTAAGCGTTTCTGAGAAACTTCAAGGAACAGTGTGAGTCCCAGCGTAGCAAGAGCTGGGCATTGACGGTTTACGAGACGTGGCTGACAGGTCCATATGAGGAAATTAAGAAGCCTGTAGATACAATAATCAATAAGGTTAAGAAATCTACAGCGGAATTAATATTCAGAATGAAACCGTCGCTGGGTGAGTCTAAATGGTTTAATTTAATGCCTAAAACTAATAATGCTAGTGGAATGTATGGCACTATTAGAACACATAAGCCACGTCACCCAATACGACCAATACTAGATTTTAGAAATACCCCAACCTATGAATTATCAAAACACATAGCTCTAATATTATACCCCATTAGAAATCGTTCAAACTCTAGACTAACTAATTCGTATGAGATGAAAAATAAACTAAATGACATTCAAATAAAGTATAATAATATTTTAATAGTTTACACACAATGATAAGTTTTGTTATTGGTAATATTTCGAGCAAAATTACTGCCCGCGTTCACACCACTGTTGGAATTGTTTTATTTTTTTTTTTTGATTTGCAGCTTGATTCCACACTGTATTTTCGGTACAAGTATGGAATTTTCAGCATGGATATCGGTAGCCCAAATTTTGCAGGCCGACCATAGATATCAGATGTGCGTCGGTGCGGGCTCGAACCCCGGACCATGTGCATGGTCGGCGAGAGTCCTAAACACTGTGCCACCGACGCACACATTTATGATTTGTACTCATATATATAGTTCTATTATTATTTTTTTGCTCATTCATGTTTTGTGTGTGCATATGTGTGTTCAGAATTATACTCCACATTCATTCATGTGTTTGTGTTTAGAATTATATTCCAAGTTGTTGATAGTTGTACTGAGTCACCCTTGTTACATGTATCCGGTGTGACTTTAATGAATATCGATTCTGTTATGAGTCTTTCTTTCCATTTGTTCATGTTTGTTTTTAGAATACACACATTGTCCCAATCGATATTGTGGTTTTTGTCCCATGCATGTGCAGCTATGGATGAATTTTTTTCAAGATTTTTGTAGGCTTGTGTCCCTGTTGGTTGACCTTTAGTTAGGCGTTTATGTTCATTCACTCTTATTTTGAGTGATCTGGACGTTTGCCCCACATATTTAGTTGGACAGTCAGCACAAGATATTTTATAAATCAAATTGTTTTTATCCATCATTTTTATGGGATCTTTTAGTTGATTTATTTTATTTTTGATTAGATTTGTCGGTTTAAAGGTTGTTCGAATGCCGATATTTTTGAGGTTTCTTTGTATTGCCTCTGATGTACCATTTTTATATGGTATTGCGACTGTTTTTCTCCATTCTTCCTTCTTGTTATTCTCCGGTTTTACCCTCTTTTTTATATTATCTTTTATAAATTCTCTAGGGTAGTTGTTTTCGAGTAGCATTTTGAATAGGACTTTTATTTCTTTACGCTGGTCCTCTGGTGCTGTTGTAAGTCTACGTATTCTATCTGCAAGACCTTGTATTAATCCTCGTTTTACCGAGAGTGGATGAGCTGAGTAATAATCAAGGAATCTTCCAGAATGTGTGGCTTTTCTATATATCGTTGTTTTTATGCTACCATCTGTCATTCTTTGTAGTTTGCAATCTAACATGGGCAGTTCTCCAATTTCATTCTCTAATTCCATAGTAAATTTTATTGAGTCGACGTGTTTGTTTATGTGTGATAAAAGTTTCTCAGTATCGTTTTTTTTCACTATTACTAGCGTGTCGTCTACATATCTCCACCAACATTTTAGTGATGATCTGAATGGTTTAAGGGCATTCTCCTCCCAATAATCCATGAATATGTCAGCTATAATTGGTGAGATAGGCGATCCCATGGCTACTCCCTCATTTTGTTGGTATATTTTTCCTTCGAATGTGAAATATGTTGTTGTCAGACAGAATTCTACCCCTTTTATTATTTCTTCTACGGATAACTGTGTTCTGTCTTTCAGGCCATTATCTTCATTTAGTTTCTCTTTCAGTGCAATCATGGCCATTTGAATGGGTATTTTCGTATAAAGACTGTTTACATCAAAGCTAACTAGTATTTCTTCCTCCTCTATTTTAGTGGTTTTTATTCGCCTCACTAATTCAAATGAATCTACTATTCTAGCTTTTGAGTTGTCTCTTGTCGGTCTTAGTATTGTCGAGAGAAATCTGGATAGCATATACGTTGGTGTGTTTCTGAAGTCTACAATCGGTCTTATTGGATATCCCTCTTTACGCAATTTTATCCTTCAGAAACACACCAACGTATATCCTATGTAGATTACAATCGACAATACTAAGACCGACAAGAGACAACTCAAAAGCTAGAATAGTAGATTCATTTGAATTAGTGAGGCGAATAAAAACCACTAAAATAGAGGAGGAAGAAATACTAGTTAGCTTTGATGTAAACAGTCTTTATACGAAAATACCCATTCAAATGGCCATGATTGCACTGAAAGAGAAACTAAATGAAGATAATGGCCTGAAAGACAGAACACAGTTATCCGTAGAAGAAATAATAAAAGGGGTAGAATTCTGTCTGACAACAACATATTTCACATTCGAAGGAAAAATATACCAACAAAATGAGGGAGTAGCCATGGGATCGCCTATCTCACCAATTATAGCTGACATATTCATGGATTATTGGGAGGAGAATGCCCTTAAACCATTCAGATCATCACTAAAATGTTGGTGGAGATATGTAGACGACACACTAGTAATAGTGAAAAAAAACGATACTGAGAAACTTTTCTCACACATAAACAAACACGTCGACTCAATAAAATTCACTATGGAATTAGAGAATGAAATTGGAGAACTGCCCATGTTAGATTGCAAACTACAAAGAATGACAGATGGTAGCATAAAAACAACGATATATAGAAAAGCCACACATTCTGGAAGATTCCTTGATTATTACTCAGCTCATCCACTCTCGGTAAAACGAGGATTAATACAAGGTCTTGCAGATAGAATACGTAGACTTACAACAGCACCAGAGGACCAGCGTAAAGAAATAAAAGTCCTATTCAAAATGCTACTCGAAAACAACTACCCTAGAGAATTTATAAAAGATAATATAAAAAAGAGGGTAAAACCGGAGAATAACAAGAAGGAAGAATGGAGAAAAACAGTCGCAATACCATATAAAAATGGTACATCAGAGGCAATACAAAGAAACCTCAAAAATATCGGCATTCGAACAACCTTTAAACCGACAAATCTAATCAAAAATAAAATAAATCAACTAAAAGATCCCATAAAAATGATGGATAAAAACAATTTGATTTATAAAATATCTTGTGCTGACTGTCCAACTAAATATGTGGGGCAAACGTCCAGATCACTCAAAATAAGAGTGAATGAACATAAACGCCTAACTAAAGGTCAACCAACAGGGACACAAGCTTACAAAAATCTTGAAAAAAATTCATCCATAGCTGCACATGCATGGGACAAAAACCACAATATCGATTGGGACAATGTGTGTATTCTAAAAACAAACATGAACAAATGGAAAGAAAGACTCATAACAGAATCGATATTCATTAAAGTCACACCGGATACATGTAACAAGGGTGACTCAGTACAACTATCAACAACTTGGAATATAATTCTAAACACAAACACATGAATGAATGTGGAGTATAATTCTGAACACACATATGCACACACAAAACATGAATGAGCAAAAAAATAATAATAGAACTATATATATGAGTACAAATCATAAATGTGTGCGTCGGTGGCACAGTGTTTAGGACTCTCGCCGACCATGCACATGGTCCGGGGTTCGAGCCCGCACCGACGCACATCTGATATCTATGGTCGGCCTGCAAAATTTGGGCTACCGATATCCATGCTGAAAATTCCATACTTGTACTGAAAATACAGTGTGGAATCAAGCTGCAAATCAAAAAAAAAATAAAACAATTCCAACAGTGGTGTGAACGCGGGCAGTAATTTTGCTCGAAATATTACCAATAACAAAACTTATCATTGTGTGTAAACTATTAAAATATTATTATACTTTATTTGATCTAATCCACAATGCTCAAACTTTTTACTGATATAAATGACATTCAACTAGAAAATGATGAAACAGTGGCTAGTTTTGACATAACTAGTCTTTATACTAATATATACCAATCAATATGCCTGCCTTAGAAGCAGTTAAAAAAGAACTAACTGCGGATCATGAACTCACTCTCATAGGAGAAAGCTGCGCATCGAAGTGCGTCGGTGGCACAGTGGTTAGGACTCTCGCCAACCATGCACATGGTCTGGGGTTCGAGCACACGCCGACGCACACCTGATATCTATGGTCGGCCTGCGAAATTTGGGCTACCGATATCCACGCTGAAAATTCCATACTTGTAACAAAAATACAGTGTGGAATCAAGCTTTAATCAAAATTATTTTAGGAATTCAGTTATGCCTCACATCTACTAGCTTTAAATTCCAAGGCGAAATATATAGACAAACAGAAGGTGTAGCAATGGATCATGGATCACCAATATCGCCCATAGTAGCAGACATATTTATGGACAGTTGGGAAAATATTGCTCTTAATACATTCATCTAATCCTAGTCCAAAGATAATATGGTGGAGATATGTGGATGACACTTTCAGTCACAGTGTTAAAAACAGAACTTATCATCTCTAGCTTCTTGACACATATAAACTCACTAGTAGAGGGAATAAAATTCACATTTGAATCGGAAAATGAACAAGGAGAATTAGCTGTGATGTTAGATTGTAAAATAAATAAAACGAATAGAAGAAGTTAAACTACACACTGGTGTTTATAAAAAGCCGACGAATTCCGCTAATAGATATTTAGACTTTAATTCGTCCCATCCGTTAACTGTCTGTGAAGGCAGGCTTAATTAAGTGTCTAACAAACCGAGCAGTATCACTAAGCGGTACAAGAAAAGACCTAAATGATGAAATAAAACAGATAGAAGAGGCGTTGGTGTTAAATAACTAACTAACTATCCTACCCAATTCATTAGGAAGATCAGAAAAGATAATAAGCAAAATAAAATTAATTGTGAAACTAGTAATGAGAACATAAATAAGAGAGAATGTAAGTCATCCACTGTTATACCATATAAGGAGGGGACATCTGAGACCAGCCCCTACGTAGGATTCCTAATAAAGCAGGAATTAGGGTGACACTGAAACCTACAGACTCACTCAGACTGAACAAGCTCTGTAGGCTAAAAGACCCGGTGGACCCAATTATACAAAATTACATAATTTACAAAATACCCTCCAATGACTACTGTGAGTTGAGTCAACTATATAGCCTGAACTAGTAGATCGGGGGTAATCAGACTGTCGGAACATAAGAATTTAGTGGCTAAGGTAAGCATGGTTGACCCCACCCGAGAAGACGAGTAATTTAGAAAAAACCTTAGCAATTGCACTTCACGCATTGGCACACAACCACACAATAGGGTGGGAGAAGGTTAAAATTCTAAAGAGTAATCTACGTAGGTGGAGAGAGAGATTGATTACTGAATGCTTCTACACCCAACACATGCAACAGAAATGACTCAATGCAAATGCCAGAAATATGGAAGATATTATTACCGCTAGTCAGTCAAATCAGAGGAGGATAATAAATAATCTTAAAATTCTATTTCAATTCAAACATATCACAATATTCTAACAAGTTACTTATTATGACTACACAAACACTCTTATTATTATTTCTGAATGTACCTTATCACATTGATTTTTATTCAAATATCTCATATACCTCTGGGGAAAAGTTGTGTGAGTGCCTTGATATGATAATGAGTGGCAATAGTTTGTGCTCGAAACGTCATCAGTTAATATTACTGTACAACACAGTGTGTTTTATCAAAATAAAATCTTTTCTATAATGGAGTTATGCTTTACCACAGTGCCCAAGTTTTATACTTTTATCAATAATTAGTAAGAGAATGTAGTAGAGTAGTGTGACGCCTTGAAACTCATCTCACAGCCCAAGTGACCTGTAGTATATGCAGTAACCAACACATGAAAATACGTCATGTGTCCTTACGCAATCAAAACTGAACTTGGACAAAGAAGTATCATTATGAATCATATCACAATAAATAAAGAATAATGGAAAAGAGAAATAAAAATACAAAACTTTTTAAAATCATAAATCAACTTCTACTACTAGAATGATGATGTCTCATTCATGTTAAGGTAATTCCAAAAAATGTCATCATATCATGGCGAACAGAACAATTAGAAAAAAACAAGAACTAACTAACCTCAAATGATTTTTTAAATTCTCTCAAATGTTTAATACGAAATAGATAAAGTCCTTCACCGCGTGGAGCTCGTCTGCCTGTTTCCACTTTAAATAAACTATTCCCATAGAAACCAAAACGACGCAGTGTAACTAATGGCCAGGATAGTCTTAAAGGCGGTGGTGGGAGACGCGGTTTAGTATCTTCAGGGCATCTATTCAAAAAATTATAGAATGATAGCAACAAATTTTTACTGATAAATAAATACAATAGCTGTTAGTTTTGTGATAACTCAAAATACAAACAAATAAAAATACAACTGCTCATAAGGCTAAAATGTTTGAATTGATTGTGAATGAAACCCCTTGACCTACTACTGTTTCTACATATTGGTATAGATTTTGAACAAGGAACAGATTTTACCTTGGAGAATTACGTCTATATTCGTTTAGCGCCTCTATGCGGTTTCAGAGACTTATGCATCACCGAAACCATTTCCAACAGGCTACTGCAGACTTCCACAAACAAGCTGTCTTGGCTCCATGCTGACGATTAAATAACCAGCAAGGATGAGCAACGAAGGAATTTAGCAATGAACCCATCGGGAATCACAAGTATCTGCGCCCGACAAATATCTATAGAGAAACGCAGATGGATTTGACATGTGCTGAGATGAATATTGAGTGATACTGCATGCCACAGACCATGGCTCGGGTGGTACCCAAATTGGAAATGACGAGTTAGGCTTGGGTTCGAGGTCGACATGGAGGAGATCGTGTTAACAGGAAATGAAAGCCTATGGTCAGTTGTAGGACCAGGTAAAAAGGACTGCAGAGAACAGAATAAAATGGAAATGCTCTTTGGAAGCTCTATGTTCCACTCAAAACCTGAGGGTGATTAAGTCACTGTTGAGTCACTTGGACTAAACTAAGTGTATGGATCAGTTATCGTACAGTAATTAATATATCCATCCATGTTAAAAAACATCTACCAAGATCATTTAACTCCAGAGATAGTTGCTACCCTGAAGCGAAAGTCAGTTTTGCATATCACAATGACCCAAAGAATAATACTGGTATGAACAAATGTTCCTGCAGGTTTTCCATCGTACCAGAAAGGTCGCTCGGACACTGAAAGCAATCATAGTGTGGGTGCTTTAGATTATGCTGGAGGGAAGAAATCATATCATTGGAAAATAGGGGTGTCACAACAATAAAGTGTTTTCCTCGAGCAACCAGAAAGCTATTCATCCTGTCTTCTCACTCTGGAGAGTAGGGGTTAGAAGGAGTTGCTGCAGAAAATTTCAAATTTCAGCAGGCTGTAAGTGGCGGTACAGTCTACGTACAATCACAACTCCAAACATGCTATGTATTGTGACTGGCCTAAAGCTTTTATCTCCGGGGCTTTTTGGTTACACAATAATAATCCTCTTTATCTTTCAGGTAAATGAAGAAGAAATCGACTTCCATAGTGTGGATAACAGAGAAGTAATAACGGTTCACAGACTTCTATTAGAACAACACCATACTTTCCTGTTTATAATATGCTCCAAATCTTCTAAGCACTATTAAACATGGCATTCATTTCTAAATGTTTTAGACAGAGAACCTCACTATGTGGAACAGTATTCGAACCTATGGCTAGTGGATAAAAGTCGGCACCCTAGACGCACGTTTCCACCAAAACATGAGAATAAGCATTATCCTCGATGACAGCTTAACCCAGTACAACAGACGACCATCCCTGAGAGGGGTGTTCTTGGTTCAGAGAATGGAATTCTGATGATGATAATAATAATAATAACAATATTAATGACGACATCAACAATAAGGAATCTAAATCATCAGTAGTAATTCCATACAAGGAAGGAACCACGGAAACCTTACGCAGAATTCTTAACAAGGCAGGAATAAAAGTGGCATTCAAACCCACAAACTCAATTAGAAGCAAGCTTTGTCGGTTAAAGGATCAATCCTGTGGAGCCGTTAAAACAAAACAATTTAGTTTATCTAATACCCTGCTTGAATGATTGTCAGGTCAAATACATAGGTCAAACTAGTAGAACAAGGGCAGTCAGACTAGCCGAGCATAAAAAAACCTAGCAGCAAAATTTATATTAGTTGACCCGATTAAGATAAGAAATCTGGAGAGTAGTTCAGCTGTAGCACTCACCACATGCAATTATACACAATCATGCAACAGGATGGGGTAAGATGACAGTCTTGAAATTTAATGTAACAGGCTGGAGGGAGAGATTGATAACGGAAGCTTTGTTTATCGAATCAACTGTAAATACATGTAATAGGAGTGATTCAACACCTGTCCCAGATATCTGGAAAATTTTACTACCCTAGCGACGACAAATAGGAGAGGACAAAGAAAACTATAAGACTCAAGTTTCAAAGTCGTGTGATTACAATTGATATGATTATGAACAATAATAGATTGTGTTCGAAACGTCATCCAGTAAATAATAATACTGTTTCACACTGTGTGATACATCTAATAAACAAACTAATATGAAAGGAATTCTGAACTTTTGATAATTGGCATTCATCAAAATATCGTGTATATCTCGAATGAAAAAAAGAAGAGATATCACATAATGGATTGGTTTGAGCCTCCGGTCAAGAAAGAATTGTGTCACAAGATCTACTGTCAATTAGTCTTTTTTTATTTGAAGCTCCTGGACGAAGAGAAAATATCGTGTAATAAACTCCACTGAAAACTCTGTACATTATATAAACATTGTTCAGAATAAAGCTATTACTATTTACCATGATTAACCACAGTTCTGCTTCAATCGTAGTGGTTATATATATATATATATATACATGGGAAGCATCGTTTCAACTACAGGCGGAACTGACGAGGATATGAAAGCAAAGATCAGGGAAAGCAAAACAAGCTTTCATTACTTTCAAGTCTGTGTGGAGGTCAACAGCACTCAGCATCAAAAATAAGATCCAGATCTTCAATTCCAATGTGAAGTCAGTCAGTGCTACTCACTATATGGATCAGAGACTTGGCGCGTCATAAAGAGTACCTCAAACAAACTACAGGCCTTCATTAACAGCTGTCTTCGCTAAATACTCAAGATCAGATGGCCAGAAAAGATCAGCAACGGTGAGGGATCTCTGGTAGCTAACCAACCAGGAACCGATTGTGCAACAAATAGGCAGGAAGAAATGGAGATGGATTGGCCATACTCTGAGGAAACCATCAAATGACATCACTAAATAAGCCCTCGAGTGGAACCCGAAAGGGAAGCGGCGAGTTGGTCGTCCAAGGGTGACTTGGAGGAGGTCATGTCAAGAGGAGATGAAAGTATGTGGGCAGAACTGGAGCCAGGCGAAAACTCTAGCAGAGAACCGAACGCAATGGAGACGCGCGGCTGAAGCCCTATGTTCCTCTAGGGATTGAAGGAAATAATAACTATTATGAACCACAGCTATGCTTCATTCTTAGTGGTTATATTTATAGGCATGGAGAAGCGCCTTAAGAGTTAGGGAATATTTTAAAGCCGGATTTACACAAACACATTATGCACACACATATCTATAACTTACTTGTTTGTCAATCCATAATGATTGTCTCCATGTGTAGTTGAACACTTCTGTCCTATTCGACCAAGGCTAACTGAATGAGAACCATTGTCGACAGATGAACAAATCGGCAGTGAATTTTGATCTACGCTATACGTCTTAGAATTGCCTGTATATACACAAGAAAATATGGAGATAAACGCCATAACTTAATGGATTCATTTACTGTCAATGAATTGATAAAATGCATTAGTGTTAGTTTGTAGGGATATGATTTGTTTCAAGTTTTTATCAGCGACTGATGTCAGTTAGAAAACCACTGAAAAGCAGTGAGGATATTGGACAACTGTTTCATCCCGGTTTGTGACTCTCCATCAGTACGCACTCACGACACCACGGATGATCGAACCCAGGACCTTCAGGTTACCAGGCTAAGTTGTACTACTCTTACAACTTGGATGCTTGAAGCAAACTTCTGAATGGGTGAAACATTACTATTAATTTGTGCGCTACTCATTCAACAACCATTCGCGTATTTTTCAAGCAGCTGGCAATGAACCATACTTATTGTGTGAGAGCTAATGACATTATATAACTGCTCGAACCTTTGAAGGTGGAGCAGCATTTGAACTCATTGCTCAGTTGGTCTGAAATCGAGCGACTGGACCAATAAGCCACCTCCCCACCATTATCATCACGTTATCATAAGAAAAAAAGTGTTCCATTTCCATGCGTCTTTTCTCTTGAGAAGAATGATTATCAGCCCATCGAATTTGAACTGTATATGACTTATTATCTGGCGTTAGACAGAATCAGCCTGCAAAAAGACCTTATTTATTTATTTAATTTCTCTGCATTCCAAGTGGGATATACGGCTTCAAGCTTGAGTTCTGAAGTCTCAGTAGCAGTGGTGTTGCCTTTTGCAGTGTGAGGTTGCAAGGTTTACGCTCAAGCTTTCCTCCTTACCGGAACTAATATCGGTTAAGTGAGGTATAGGAGTGAGTTGGTCTGGAATCGAACCCCGGAACACGTGCGTAGTTCGCAAGCATTATAGTGATGAACCACCAACGCCACCCATGAACACCCAATTTCTTCAATGTTGACACTCATCAGAAAAGAAGTATGAGGCTGCAACATCTAAAAATTGTATACTTCCACAGAGACAGGAATCAGAGGTCATTCTACTTGGCATTCATCGCTTATTGCTTATATACATACACATACAATTTGTGTGGAAGACCGTTACAAAATTTAGATATGATTAACAGTAGTTGAAGAGATGCTTGGCTGTAAAGGGAATTCCGAGAAAATATATTGCACTGATTAAGGCACTCTACTCGTACTCATACAGCCAGGTGAGGGCTTACGGCGAGCTGTCATCTGAACTGATGACGACCAGTGGTGTCCGTCAAGGATGCCCATTATCTCCTTTTCTATTCAACTTCATCATAGATGTGTTAATGGACTTAACCCTAGGTGACTTCAGTGACTCAGGGATTGACTTGCTACCGGGGAATAATCTCGTTGACTTGGGATATGCAGACGATATAGTCCTTCTAGGCGAAGACGCTGACGAAATGCAGAATCTTCTAAACACCTTGAACAGCAATCTACGAATGTTTGGCATGCGATTCGCTCCCGCCAAATGCAAGATGATGTTACAGGACTGGACTACATCGACGCCTAGTTTAAAAATAGGAAGTGAAGTGGTAGAGCACGTTGATCGCTTCACTTATTTGGGAAGTACCATCAGCCCCAACGGGCTGATCTCTGACGAAATCTCAGCACGAATACAAGGGGCTCGTTTCGCATTTGTTAGTTTACGCCGACTCTGGCGTAGACGAGATGTTCGACTATCGACCAAAGGGCGGGTGTACTGCTCATCAGTCCGCTCCGTCCTCCTTTATGGTTGTGAGACATGGCCACTGAGAGTGGAAGACATGAAAAGACTAGCTGTCTTTGATCATAGGTGCCTGCGTTCTATTTCCCGTGTAAATTGGCATAATAAGGTGAGCAACATGGAGGTTAGGCGTAGAGTTCTAGGTAAACAGGGGAAATCAATCGACGAAGTCGTGAAGCTACATCGACTGAGATGGTTAGGACATGTGTTACTTATGCCAAGTCATCGCCTCCCTCGACGAGCTATGTTAGCGGATATAGGGTCAGGCTGGAAAAAAGCTAGCGGCGGTCAAACAAAAACTTGGCACCAGTCAATGAAATCCACAACAGTTGGTCTAAGCCACGTAGAAAGGTGTAGACTTCCAGGCTGGGGTCCTCGGGACGGTAAAAATCTATGGTTGGAAACAATTGGTGACATGGCTCAAAATCGTTCTCAGTGGCGCAGATGCATCCACTCCCTGTGACTTATGATCTTCAATGAAACTGTTTTGTATTTCTTTATTACTCCTTTGTCTCACACCTCTGCTCACTGTTTCTATTATGCTTTTCTTGTACTTTCTTCTCTCGCTTCGCGTGCTACACGGAATGTGGCGACTTGAACTTCCGCACATTTGTGCAAAGTTCTATGTCGAAAACAGACAGACAGACAGTTGAAGACGACAAAATACAAGAATTTGGAATTAAACCTAGAGAGAGGTAGTGAATATTGGATGGAGATAAGACTCCTTATTGACTTAAGCAGCAAACAACATCCAGTCATTGGATCTTAAGTTCGATTCCTATTCCACCTACTTAAGCTTGGGTAAATCACTGTCACAAACAATCAGTGCGGCCAATATCCTGGTATATGAAAAACATTTGTTCGGAGTAACTAAATTCTAGCCAACTAGACCAACTAGAGAGCATTGAGAGTTTATAGAAATTTCAAGTCTGAAACAAAACTGAAAGTTTATTTGTACAATTATAAACGCAACAACCTAGTTATTGAACTTATGGTGAACTTTAATCGACAGGATAACTACGTATTTTTCTAGAATGAGGGTAACTACCATTAGGTAAATCTCTCTTGATATGTAAACGTAGCTATGTAACTGAGTCAAAAAGCAACTTTGTTCGAAAATAGTAGGAATTGTGCGTTGAGGCTCTAATGGTAAAACATTAGCCAGCTGCGCAAGGGGCGTGCGTTCGATTCCCTGTCGACACATTCATAAATCACGTCTAACCAATAGTAAGCCCGGAAAAAACTTAAAGTTGAGTGTGACGTTAGCAGTCCCACACCGTGAAAACTACCGAAATCCCAAAGTTTGAAGACTTATATTTTACTCGGAACGCACAAAATGAAACAAAAGAAAACTTACTATGAACTGTTGATGAAGCACATTCACTAGTGGATCCAGCCATTTGCTGGTCGATAAGTAGAAATGGGATACGTGATCGCTTATTAACAGCCTGGAAAACCAAATTCCCATGTTCAACAAACAAACATCCGTTAATACGACACCCTTCTAATTCAGCATATTGAGTTGTACTGAGGTTGTTGACATCCATTGTAGAAAAAAACTCTTCTCTTAAAGTTGATTGAAATTTCGAAGTGTCAGTATGCCGGAGCAATGTTGCAACATGAGACTTTGTGGGAGGACAAGATCTTTTCGGTAGTGTGATTAATGGTGACGGAAGCGATTCAAAATTGCCATCAGTTTCTGTACAATGTAAAGGAGATATTGATGATGCTCGAAAATCCCCATGCAAACGAAGGTTTCCAATCTGATTTAAGTATAATTTTCCAAGCCAAATACCACACAGTTCGGCAGGATGGTGAATTTCCAGACCTGAAGCATGAACTACACCTTTTGTGCAAATATCATTATAAGCAGACCCACAAAAGCGACAGTGACGGGTTTCTGAATTTTTTTGAAGAATGGAATAGCCTCCTGGAGCATCTATTAGTGACTGAATAGAACCCATCAACAGTTATCTCGGAAGAAAGCTGGAAAAGCAAAAAATATGTATGTTGACTAAGCTGTTGTTTTTTTATGCATGAGTAAAAGAGTATACTCTACCAGCAAACTATTATTTCTCTACTCGTTGACCAGTGGAAAAAATGAGTTTACCTTTAGCGCTACAGCTTCATGTGTACGGTTTACAAATACTCCCCAACCAGAAGTGTATACCGTGAAGTCTTCAGTGCTACTGAGACTAGTCAAAACAAGTTTGGTCATCAATGATTACTACATTGAAGCTACATTTTCAGTATTCCAGTGAGTTACTCGTGCTTTTAAGCGTCACTAACACAGTTTTCACAAAACGTCGAATACGAAACACCAATCAAAATTAACACAACCTGATGACTATTCGCCCAGTTTGTCTTTAAATATAAGATTTAGTCGTATCACTGAGATAAATTCTGATACCTTATTCGTTTTGCGTCTCATTCAGTCACTGAGATACAAACGCACACTTAAACCTACATCTTATCATTGCTTACGTAGTTAACATAAAAGCAACTACTTAATATCCGCAAAAGATTTCTGATGCACCAGACTGAGTGATACTTAACGTGCAAGAGCTCGTAATACTACCCAGTTGCCTAGGCTGAAGTGGGTGGAATATGAACTGTATCCCAGACCCACATTTCCACTACATAAATGCAACCTCAAAGAAATTGATGCTCTCTGTGGTTTAAATCTGTTATCCGGTCCTACACTCAGAGACGTTACTATTGAGCCTTCGGAACTAGATTTAACTACAACGTTACGGACATTAAGTGAAATATGATAAAAATAAACTGCTATTAAATCAACTGCAAAACTAATTGTGTCGTGAACACAAGTCAAGATCGAGTCACGATCAATGTTTTAAATTATTTTTTTGGTAGCACCAGTTTATATGTATGATGGAATGCCATTAAGATATTTAAATAATCAGAACGAGTTCAGCATTCAGTTTTCTAATGGTATGCTACTCAAAGGAATCACACTGTCTGGAAGCCGAAGTATGGCAGACAATCAGTTTTTATTTATTTACATAACTACCAAATTAGTTGGACTATTCTAGATTTATTCCAGTTAAGTGTGTACTGAAGAGTAATTATTAAGTTTGCTTTTAGATGCATCTGTAAATCCTTGTTGGTAATCAGTAGTAGGTAACTCTTGGTCTTATACGTCGAATCTTCATCAAAACGCAGTTTGTCCAAAATGTATCTCTGAGATTCTATTTATCTACCATAAGCACAATTTTCCAAAGTTCATGAGTATAAAATAACGGATTAAGCTAACTCAAAAGCGTTAAACTTTAATATACATCATCTCTTTGTCCACATATTCAGACCAGTGCCACCTAAAAACCGTCTTCATGAAATTTTATTCACTACTACTAAATATAACAAATAGCACGAATCACTTGTTATGGAAATAAACGTTATTAATTAGTACCGGAAAATATGCTTACTTCGACGAACTTTAATTTAACCGGGTGCAGTGAACATTGTAAAGCGAAACATATCAACAATATTCAGAAGCAATGCTGTTTTCAAAAACGTATTCATTCCCTTCTAAAAAGTTTCTCTCCATCAAAAATTTTTAACGTCTATCGTTTTTTTCTAACTGTCATAAGTGTGGAATTAACTGGCTAATGTTGCGTGTCATCAGATATTCCGCTGAGTAGCTAGGTCCTTATAAAACCTAAGTGAACATCTGACATTATCACAACTCATACAACATTACGTCATCAAATCAGAGTATTGTTGGCTGCCTGAGGTCTCTGTAGTGCATATTCCGATGTTAAAGACTTATTCTTTATTTGTACTTATATGAACTTGTTACAACACCATTTTGCGTTATTCGGTTTTGCTGCCTATACACACGTTCCTTGAGTCTGTAGCAAAGCCACACTCATTAGATAAGTTACAGACCTCTTTCCTGGATAATCTCTACCTTTTTTCTCAAATACGCAGCACACTTGAGCGCTTTTTCCCCAATAACCAAGTCTTTTCAATTTGCGTCTTGTCATCGGTACTTACAGTTTAGGTAAGGCAACAAATTACAGTGCATGTAGATGAACTTTTTTAAGTAAGGACCGGTAAAGTGTAGCTAATCGATATCACTACGAGCACTCTTTATCGCTTTGGATAATTACGAATGACATTATCAAAACTGTCTCGCGGAGCGAAACAGTGATCGATTTCCCCCTCTTCCCTCGTACAGTGTATGCAATTTGCCTTCACATAAAATTCCCAATCAAGAGTACGGCTGATTACTGATGACTGTTTTTAAATCTTTCCAAGCGACAATTTCGCGAAACTGAGTAGAGGCCTCCGCTATGTCTGGGCACAGAACGAGAACTGGAGTACTCTGGTAATAATATCATCTAAATTGTTCCAAACTGCCATCGCATCGGTATCGCAGGAGCGATCCTCCCTGAAATCATCTTCAACTATATTAAGGACGTATATGTTTACTAAAATGTGTCCTGACATGATCGTCTGACAGCCTTTCCATGGTATTTGACAGAATAGTAATATATATCACATAAACGACAAAGTAGCTCGAGAATATGCGTTCCATATTAACAGGTATCATTGACTGATCTCTTAATTGATGACAGCAGTGGACGAAGAGTTTTGAAATTGTTCGAAGTTAAATTTGCGTCCAGGTTGTTTGCGAATGATGGTCGACAGCTAGTTAGGTGTATGTGAGTGTTAAAACAACAGGGGTTGCTGTCAAACATGTGTTCAGTGAGGTTCACTTGACACTGCAGCTGTTTGAATGCGGCTTGAATTCATGTGATTTTGCGTTCTAGGAGGGTGAGGGTCAGGAATGCTATGGAAGACGGAAGAAATCCTCAGATACCAATTTTTGAGGTTCAAAATAATTTGCAACATCCGAGCTATATTCGATATTTTTCCTATAAACACTGCAGTTATGAGCCAGTTGATGTGACCATATGTTCATTAGCCTATGTGAAAATAACTACATTAGCCGAACTGGGAGCACCACTTCCTAATGAACCTCCGAATATTTTCCGGTATGCCTAACAAGAGGGCAAGGTAATATGACTACTGGCTCAGCTTCTGAGTATATGGTGAACTCAGGCAACGCAGCTTCAACAGAGACACCCATCAAGATTGCACACAAACTAAGCAGTATGATGCAAAAAGAGTAACTGCGATTCAGCATATATGTACAGAGAGGACTCTGACGAATCCTCAATGTAAACAAGAACTCCATACACAAATTCTGTAGATTTTCGTTTTACACACTGGTCTTGGTTTCGATCCCAAATGATCACTTCAATTTTTAATTAGAGGGAAAAGAGCAAAAGGTTCAGCAAAGATATTTTTCGACGAAATATCACCAACTGAAAGTGAATCTTTTGATGAATATGTTACCCTGATGCAAAGCAAATGAGGTGAGAATGTCAAGCCAGATTTGAACAGGAGCCTCAAATCCATCAAAGTACAGAAGAAGTTCCTCATCAATCCCAACAAATTTGTTTTCAATCACTTCCCCGTCGGCATGTCTACGTTACAACTAGGAGCCCTATCTTTAGATTTGAAATTTTGTGATGTAAATCTATACAGTAACAGACTGCACACGTATGTCTAATTCAAAAATCTTATTGGTCAAAAAAGCGACGTTACTCCTGTCTCTGATACAGATTTCTTACATTTCAAGGCTACAATTTTCGACTGCTGTAATCAATATCTCAACACAAACTAAAGTCCTATACCTCCTGGTAAAGGAACATAAATGGCAGCCTAAAGACTTGAGGAACAAAAGATGTCTAATCATCACACATCCAGTCAAATGTTCGGGAGTGGTCCTTACGGATAAAGATGTGTATTTCAATAAAATGAAATCTCTAATCTCCGATGATCAAAAATTTTCAATACCAAGCAATGAGAGGAGTAGGACAGAATAGATGGAACAGCAATTGAAAGATGTTCTTAGGAGAACGAAGGACGAATGCCTCATAATTGATGATCTATTTGAACGTCTGAGACCAGCAGGATCCATTATCCCTCGACTCTACGATCTACCACAGGCGCAAAAAGCAGGTCTGCCAAAGCGTGACTAATTTAAGACACGTAGGGATCACCGTACCATCCGACTCCCAAATGGTTTTTCCGAAATACTAGAGCCTGTGAGAAAACAACTCTTTAATTACCCTCTACGAGATACTTTTAAGTTTATTGAATGCATAAGGAACTTGAATGTAAATGTCAAGCGAATGTAATCGCTGGACGTAGAATCTCTATTCACTAATGTGCCGCTCATAAACACAATTTGTTTCCTTTGCAAATATATGGATTACGAAAATCTGAGCATCGGAATGCCAACCTCATACCTGAAAGAGTTGTTATTATGGTCCACACTTGACGGACAACTTACATTCAACGACGCCATCTGTAGACATAAAGGCGTGATTGTTATGGGCTCTCCCCTTGGCCCAATTTAGCAGACTGATTCATGGCTAGCCTAGAGAATGGGATCTTAAAATCAACAATGGACAAGTTGCTGCTGTGCAAAGGATGCGTCGATGACACTTTTATAGATTTTCAGGATGATTCTGACTTAAATTGTATGTTATAGGAGTTTAATTACTGCCATCCTCCAACTAAATTCACAATGGAATTTGAAAATGAATCAAAAATTCCATTCCTGGAATTGGAATTGATAAAAGGAGCTGACGGAACTTTGAAAAGATCTATACATAGAAAACCAACATGGAACGGCCAACTGACAAACTTCTACAGTTAGATACCAATCGGTCGTAAAAGGGTTCTCATCATCTCGCTAGCTCACCATACCAGAAGAATTTGTATCGATGACTGTTTAAAATAAGAGCTCCTATTTCACATCAGCATCTTGGCGTTTCGTTGAGAAGAAAATGAAACCAAAGCCAAAAAGATAAGAATGCACTTCACTTTCAAAGAAAACACTTTATTTGAACCTGGAATTCAGGGG